AAAAGTTCCTCGTATAAATCAAAATTTTGGCTATTTATCAAGTGGTGAGGTAGGTTGAGCTAGGTTGGGGTAATAGGTTAGGATTAAGATAGGTCAAGGGTTCTTTTCCCTCCTCTCTAACCAAAAAAATCCAAATTTATTATCCAAATTTTGTTGTCACAAATATAGATAAAATAATAAAAAGAAAAAGGTACATGGTGGAAAATATGATGAAACTCATAGCCTTGGAGGCAATTTTTTACCATCTTCGTCTCACTTCTGAACTTAATGTATTTTTCTGTGGCTGAAATTTCCATCTCTTGTTCTTCGTTGTGTTGATATACTAATTGTAAACGTTCATGTTTTAGTTAACTAAGCTAGCAAGCACCTTACCCACATTAAGCTTTGAATTCTCATATATCCCTAAGCCCATGTCTGGACTCCACTAGACTGTATTTCTACAAATATGGATGAGTCATTTTCTTAGTTATGTATTTGGAGGGTCACATCCAATGCGGATGGACTGTTTTGATCTTATTAATTAACAATCGCTAAATTAATATATCAATATGGATAAGGCCCTTCAAGGTTGAAGGAAAATGTTTCCCAACTTTTCGGGTCGTTATGGCAAGTTCTAAGCCTATACTCCGTCGACAACTAGCATTATTTGTCATGGTTCCTATCTGAACAATAGATATGAGAATCTTTATGGGTACTTCATTCTGTCTACTTCCGTTTCTTGTTTTCTTGATTAGTTGGCTGAACAAGTAGAAAATAAGATGGTTGTTCATCGTATATTGTTATGCTTGCTTTACTGCAAGTTAATGTCAAGATGATGTGAAATATCCTAAATTTAGTTTCTTTCTTTTAATCAGCTTGGAGAGGAATGTTTTGAGATTGAAAATAAGGGAAAGCTGGCACGCTGTGTCTGCATCAAACTCTAACTCTTCAAATGGAGATTCCGTTGAAGACAAATCAGGTGGGGTTAAAACCAATGATGCTGCACAAGGCCCTCCTTTGCTGACCATTGTGGCTGGATTTGTCGTCTTTTTTCTCTTATTTTGGATTTTGGGGTCAATTCTAATGTGGTTGATTGGTCTAGTTGTTAGATTTCCTCCACCTAAATAAGAAAATATTTTCATCAATTTTGCTGTTTATGTTAAAAAAGCATGTACTCATCTCTATATTTATGAACAATGAACATGAGTATTGGATCACAAATTTTTGTTTCCTTGCCTTTTTTTTCCCTCCTTTTGTAGAGACGAGTGAATGGAGATGTAATGTAAAACCTGATATATTCATTAATAAATTATTTTTCATTACAGGTCGATATTCTAGTTGATTAATTTTCACTTTGAAATTCGAGGCAAGAGGAATGATATCTCCTTGTTGGGATTTAATAAAACAGGCACAATATCATCTTTATGAGTCTGAACCCATATTTAGCATGATTGGTTTGATTTGAGTAATGCGCATCAAACACCGATAGCCATTTGAGCCTAATGACACTTCATCTCGTTTTAAGTAAGCTGATGGGCACCCTTTAATTGTGCCAAAGGTGTAAAGATCACTCATTTGAGAATTTTCTTGGTTGCATCTACCAAACGCGCAAACTCTCATGGCAATCTTCTGGGGGAGGATAGCTCGAGCAAAGGACCCTTATTTTGACTCTCCACTGGGCTTGGCCCGAAAAT